CCTTGAGTACATCCCTGTATCATGTAGTTGGGCAATGGATTGTTTCACATGACTAATAAGAGTTGTTAGGAGATTTCTTTAAAACTATATTGTAGAATTTCAGTTTTAAATTTATTTAGCTAAGAGGCATAACAAAAAGATACATCACAAGGATACCAAACATACTTCATTTTTTTAATACAGTAATAACCAACTTTTGAAAAATATCTCATATTCAGAATTTTGCTCTGAATACATAATTTATTTCAGTGGATATACTTCTGCTTTCTATAGTTGTCATCTCTTAAAAAGTAATGATGCTTTCCTTTTATCTGATCAATAAAAATACATATTTTGAAATAAGGGATATGTTTTTCTCTAAACCTTTTTCTCCTAATCATTGAGGGATTCAGGCATTCCTTAGAGAAGAAGATTTTGTTGATTTGTATTGAAGCATTGTCTGCCAACATCCTATGGGCTTATCATTATAAATCTTCCTGTTATGGTGTTTGTACTTTCAGTGTGGTGTGGTGGTTTTTATAGAATACAGCACTGTAGGAAACAAGACAGCTAGCTTTTTAATAAACTGTAAAATTAAAGAAAAACAAGTGTTTTTAAAATATGTTCACAAAAATCAACATTTAAAAAAAACCTAGTGCTGTTTCACTTATGTGTTACCTGCTATTTCAAAACAAAAAGATTTAGAAATGAACTTAACATGAGTTATTTGAGTAGCAAACAACCTTAAATGTATAGGTTTGATGCTTCTCTTATTTAATTTTTTGATCCTAGGCTTTCAGTTGATACCATTCTACTTTATTGCTGTAATAGTTTCATTAATTTTAACTGTCTTGTGTCCAGATTTCTTAATTATTTTTGTGGAGTATTGACTGGCAAATAGGGTGAATAAACTGGTCTCAGCAATTTATTTGCTCTTGGTTCCTCATTGTTATTGATGAAGCTGAATTTTACCTTTTTGCAAAGGAAAGAAACATTTAGCCAATCAACTTCATGTCATTTCATTAAAGGAGAAACCCATATAACTGGAATTATCCATTTAATAACTGATCTAATGAACAGAATTCTCTGGATGAATATGAATTACTGTTATTAATATTAATTGATATTAAAGCTAAGTAGTGGTGGCCAAGACCACCTAAATGACATTCAGTGTTTACTGTATAATATGTGTTCAACCATATGGGAAATGTGTGTATTACATTTGTTTTCTAGAGTGTGTATTTGCCTTTTTGAATTTTACTGCTGATTAGGCTAGAAATACCAACTCTATAAGTAACTAAATGTTGGTTGACACATTATTGACTTGTGTAAATTAATACATATTAAAAACTCCCTTGTTCGGTTCATATTTATGCTTCAGGCTAGCAGCATTTAACCATCTAGGAAAACAATACACATTAGGAAAGCTGCCATAATAAAGGAAATTTACCACATCTTTACAAAAAACATTGAGTACATTTATTAGGTCAGAGAATTTTTTGTTACCTCTAAGAGCCACTGAAAAGGCTGCAAAAATGAACTCCTTGTAAGGCTGACAATATGGGAAGTAGCTGGGATGACTTGCTATATGGTTCCAATGCTGACTCTAGGGAAAATAACTTTGGAACTTGATTTTAATAAGACACTGTAAGCCTCAGAATGGTTTGTTTCTGGATTCGGTGGTTGGTATCGGTGTTCAAAACTATTAAAATCTAATCTACAGTATTTGCTTACCCCAGGTTCAAGTGGATATATCCATGGAAAATTAAAACAATGAGATCATACTGATGCCCGCACAGCCACCTTCCACACAATTATCTGACTTTGTTACAGTACTTTAAAATTAGTTGAGAAAATTAGTACTCTGAAAATAGACACAAAACAAGCCAGAATCTTGACCTTTTGTTTCATGTTTATAATGGCTAAACAAGATGTAGTAACAGAATAAGTGCTGGAAACATTTGCCTTGTGGCTGAATTCTCACTTCTGGTGACAAGCTGGGAGTAGCATGGGTAGGCAGTTTGTTTGGAACTGCAACTTATGAAGATGTGATCTCCTTTGAAAACTTTTCCTTCCTCCAGCAATGATTTTTATAAAGTGCCACTAGCCATTTCATACAAAAAAGAACACTATCTGAAGTCATGAATGTAGAATAAGCAAATCCAGACCATTTTAAAAATACAGAGCCAGTTTACTGGCACATCAAAGAGACTGTAATTCAAGATATTATATGATGTCTACTCTGGAATTAGTCTATTTCAGTTAAAAACACTTCAACTGATATCTTAATAAAATAATATATACAGTTTTAATAGCAATAAGAGGAAAAGATCACGCCAATCAAAAGATAAATCATAGCATTATCAGAATATCTGAAGTGTCTAATTTGTTTTCAACAAAGAGATTTTTTTTTTCAGATCAAACTATTTCTTTTACCATATTCATAGACATAAAGTTGTAAGTCATACCTTCAAAGATTTCTAAGAAAATATACTTCAATAATGTATCATTATAATTAACGATGAATAATTTAAACTCTATTTCTCATGCAGCTACAACTATTATTATTTCTCCAAAACCTAGAGGTCATTCTCAAGTAGCTACCCAAATATCATTTCTGGACTGAAAAACTCTGGGCTACCGCAAGCTGGCAGAAGAGTTTTCTGTTTACTTTTGCTACTATTTCATGGAATAGAAAGACTACATTTGGTAGCAGTTATCAAAATAAATACCTAAATGAATATGTACCAAAAGACCATGCTGCAATTCATAAATTCATTCAATATTGGATCCTCAAATGTTTTAATTCAATAAAACTTGTAGCTGATAACCTTCCTAAATTTCTAATAATATTTACCCATGTAGTAGGGCTGTATTACTATCATGCCTCTCTCTCTCTCTCTTTTTTTTACTACCTTCTATTTGTATCCTATGATTATATTACTTTGTTGTATATATGTACACTAAGCACTTATTCACAAGAGACAAATTCCTTGTGTGTCCAATTACACTTGCCCAATAAAGAATTTATTCCATTCCATTCTTTGCATGGAATTGAAATGAATGTATGACTGATGCTTTGATCCAACAAAATTTGCTTTAAAAGAAACTGATGATCTTGAAACTGAAACAGACTATCTGGAAAGAGGTGAGGTGGGAAGGAATCTTCATTTTCTTCTTTTAAAATAAAATAGAATAGCATTCTTTATTGGCCAAGTGTGATTGGACACACAAGGAATTTGTCTTGGTGCAAATGCTTTCAGTGTACATAAAAGAAAAGATACATTTTATTATTCTTCAGGCATTTTATCTCAATCTTTCTGTTTTTAATTTATATCTGGATCTGAGATTTTCTGTCCACTCTTTAACTTGTCAGCCACTGTCATTTTATAATTTGAATTATCATTCTCTTTTGACTGGAATCCAAATACCCACAATGCCACATTCACACATGGGATTTACATGTGGTTCTTACATGTATATTGAGAAAGAAAATAGCATCAAAGGCATTCTGAATTTATTCACAAGCAGATAGCAGGTTGTATCCATAAATATTCTAAAACTGAAGAGCAGAATAGCATATGGAGTTTGCAGTCCTCAGAGTCCTCTGAAGTCCAGAAAGCACCTAGGAGATAATATCATTGGGACAGAATGTTGTCAAAGAATAAATGGTCTCCTGCTACTAGATTAAAGCCTGGGGAGGTGAACTCACTTATAAAAATACACACAAGCAGCAGAAAGCTATTTCTGGCATTTTCAAAGTAGGAGGCATGAATCTTAACAGCAACATTCTGCTTCATTCACTCTGCTTTTTATTGTAGTACAATAGAAAGCAAAAAACATAATTTTGCAAAACACACAATGCTTCACCAGTTTAGTGATTGATTTATCTCATGTACTTACCTTGCTTTGGTTCACACAATAACAGTTGTATGCATGGCTCTAACACTATCAATAAGATTTACCAGTAGAATCTTGTTTATAATTCAAATAGACAAGCTTTAAGATTACTAAATTACTCACTTTCACAGATAGTTTTCTAACCAATGCTTTTTCTCTAAAAGTGGCTAATTTGGGTCATTTGTCATGGGGGAATCATAATAGATAGCCTGTAAGAAGTTTTTAATCTAGGGTAAAAGAGTAAAACCAATGACTGGGAGGTTCTCGCAGTCATCCAAGGTGAGCAAGTCCTTAAGAGTCCTTTCAAAATCTGTCGATGAACTGTGATTTCTAAATATTTAAGAAGAGACTAATTAAATCTAGCTAATTGTAATTAATTCAATTCAGATTTATTTAATTTTTTACTAAATAAGTATGTGTATCCCTGCCTACATTTTGGATTCTGAATCTGAATGATCTCTTAAAGCCAAACTTACTGACTTACATAGTCATTCACTAACTAAAAATATTTAAGTAGCCCTCCAACTCAATCAAGGTCATGAACCCTAATGAAAAAAAATATTAAGTTACAATGGATATGCTTACAAACAATAATGACAAAAGTAGATGGTGATTCAAACAGCAGTACAACTATCATCTAATCAGGACACCAAAGCATCATTTCCTAGGGAAAGAGCCAGGTCTTAACAGTCTTTATATGTCAAGAGGAAGGTTGCTCCATAAGATAGAAGACATGCATCCTGGGTTGCACAATATGAAATGTTTCAATGAAGGGACCTGGAGTAAACGTTCTCTATCAGAGCTTGTGGGGAGGCTAGATACTCTGGGAAGAAGGGAGTCTTTCAAGTAAATGAACTCTATGCCATGCAGGCAGGGCAGGGAGACAATAACTAGGCACCTTAAACTGTACTCAGATGCAATTGGGAGCCAATGGCACTTTCAAAGTATGGGTGTTACATGGGCATAGCAAGAAGCACCAATGAGTACTGCAAGGTTACTTGGAAGTCAGACCACAAAAACTTATCTCAAGATCCTACTCTGATGACAATGTTTACTTTCACATCTGTGTCCCATTCCAATTTTACATCAAATAAATTGTATTTGTTTTATTGTGTTTACAGTGCAAGTTGGAATTTCATGCCTGCACATCTGGCAAAAACATTATAGCTCGATGTGAAGGGCCTTGCCCATGCCTTCCAGGACAAGAGAGTCCAAAACACAAGACTGAGAAAACTGGTGAGTCTATCTGTTCAATTACGTATCAGATTTCTTAGTAAATTTTATTATCCTAGTATTCTAGCAGGCCAATCCTATGCATATTTGACAAAAAGTGAGATCCCCTAAGCCCACTATTATTTCCCAGAAAATAATAGGATTGCCATTTATGAATTGGATTGATAATACAATGAATATTTGGTTTACAAAAGTTGTGAATTATATTGTTCTTATTGTTGGAATTAAGGAAAAAGGAATTAAAGAAAGATTGTTAACCAAGGCAGCATTCCAGACTCAGCAACAAATACAGACCAACTCTTGGAGCCTTGCAGCTGACTTACTAAATGTTAATACAAGTTCATGTTAAGAGCAGTACAGAGCAAGCACTTGACACTACTTTGTATATTATCTTGTTAAGTGAGAAGTGGTCAATAGAGAACAAAAACTACAACTGCTTGTTTCTGGATTTTTTAATGAACTATTTGAAGATTTTTGGTCAAAAGCCCCACCTTGGATTTCTGGTTAGCATGTCAAATAGGTTTTATCTGCCAATGATTACTTCTGAACTGATAGACAATGATCAAAACAAAATGCTCCTGGATGGGCTAATTCACCCCTCCCTTCCTACCTCTAGATTTCTGCCTGCAATTATATATATTATATGTATATGGAGAACTTATTCAGAATTTCCCTGTCCTATATTTCAGACCAGCCATTCATTACAAAGGAAAGGTAATCCTTAAAAACCTAAGACACAACAGAGCTGCAATGCATAGTTTTTTAGATGCCTCTTTCATGGTGGAACTAAGAAAGTGCTTTTTGAAGATAACTCAGTAGATAGATAAAAATGCCATTCTCACTGACTGTGTGATAAAACATAATAATCTGATGAGGTTGAGAACTACGCTGGCACTTTGTATCCTACTAGAAAGGTTACCTAATACCAAACACGTCTTAGCACGATATGTGTCCACCCCGTTAACATGGGGAAAAAAACAGAAAAAATGAAAATTATACTGGATTGGTCATCATTCAGGTCAACAAGAACTACATCAGATGTTGTTGTGGCCGATTGGCTGCCAGCAGAGCTAGCTGCAGAGTCAGATGAGGAGGAGGTGGAGGGAGAGCCTGGGCAACTTTGGACCCTTTGGAAGGCTCTGATAAGGAAACAGCATCAGAGACAGAGGAAGATCTGGGCCCTTCCCTCCTTCCCCTGGTGGAGAGGCATCTGTCTTCAGGGCCTTAACTGAGTGAGGGGGAGAGGAATAGATGGGGTCGGACCCAAAGGTGTATATGCACAGGGTGGAAAAGAGAGTTGAGCAAAGGAAAACAATAAGCCGGCTCTCAAGGAAAAGTTGACATGGATGCTAGCCAGCCCCTCCCTGCCTGGGAAATAAATAGTAGAAGTTTAGGAGTGGCAGACAACCTTTCTCTTTTATGATACAGCAAGCAATTCAGATTTCTTGGCCAGGTCTGTTGGAACTAATTATGTTTGATTTTTGTTCATCCACGTGAATAAAAAAACTGTTCCTACCCTGTTTGAAAAGGGATTTGTTTGTACTCATGAGTAAGTGGCTTATCATTACTTACAGAGATTTATTACCAGAAATAAAGCATTCAAGGATGCAGAACTAGAAGAGATTCAGAAAAATTATGAAAATTAAACACCTAAAAAGGATGTTCGATAACCAAGGCCTCCTGGTTCTTATAAACAACAACAGAATGGAGGGCCTCTACAATGTGAGGGGGGGGACTCATTCCAAAGGGCAGGTAGATGAGATTGAGAGCTATAGTGATGCAGTGGTTAGAATGCAATACTGCAGTCTACTTCTGCTGACTGCCAGCTGCCTGCAGTTTGGCAGTTCGAATCTCACTAAGTTCAAAGTTGACTTAGCCTTCCATCTTTCTGAGGTGGGTAAAATTAGGACCCAGATTGTTGGAGGCAGTATGTTGACTCTGTAAACCATTTAGAGAGAGCTGTAAAGCACTGTGAAGTGGTATATAAGTCTAAGTGCTATTGCTATTGTTTAATTAAAGGAATTCAGAACATGCCAACTCTTGCAGGATTGAATTAGCTGGGTAGATGTTATGGGAGACAGGTGATCCTTCAAATAACTGGGTCCTATGCTATGTAGGGCTTTACAGGCAACAATCAACACCTTGAATCTTACCAGGAAGCAAACTGGCACTTGATGTAGCTTGTGAAGCAGATGTGTTACATGGACATGGCCATTACTGCTTCCACCACCACATTCTGAACCAAGTTCTCTTCAAGGGAAAACCCATATATGTAGAGGTTGTTACAATAGTCAAATAGTCCAGTAGTCAAGCCATGAATTGAGTAAGGCATGCATGACTGACAAACCCAGCAAGACACCAAAATTACATTAAGAAAATTAAATGAGGAATGCTACTCTGTTCCAAAATCGAAGATGGAATATCCTCAGATCTGAGTGGCCCAAACACCCACAGCTAGATAGCCTTGGAAGAATTGACTTAAAGACTCAAAATTAACATTGCTTAAAAACTATGTATATAAAACAGATTTGAGAGGCCTTTTTATTGAAATACTTATTTTCCTCACTTCATTCATTTTGCCAGGTCAAATAAAATTGCATTCTTCAGCTGCAGATATAAAAATCAACATGTAATTGGGATGCACCATTCACAGAGTTCATCAGAATACTCACAAACATGCATGTATGCACACATACACACTTCTTAAGAAGCCATTTAGGTAATATGATCTATATATATTTCATAAATGAACCATTACTGATAAAGAATGCATGTCGAGTGATGTACACACTTAGTCTCTGATAATATATTTTTTCTATAACCTTTAATATGCCCTTATCAGAAGTAGTACCATATTAATAAATTCCCAGTGACATTTTAAGCTCAGACAACAGAATAAATTGTAATAACTGTGAGGCTGATAAACTAAATTTGACAGCATGTAGGCATTCAGCAGGGCAATCTTTTGTTTTGGCTGGATCTCTGATTCAGCTAACGCTGCAGACTAGAATTCTTTGTGATTTGATTGCTACATGACCACGGTAGACTATTATAAGAACACTTCTTGGTCTTTGGATGTTTGAGGCAATGGTTGTTTTGAAATGGAATTTCTAGTACTTATGTCACTGTACCCCAAATGCGTAAATGTTTAAAATTGATTTGCTATTTGTGTGAGTGCTGCTTGTCTTCCCTTTTCAAGGAGAATGTCAAGTTTTCATCATGTCACAATTGAGGACAACAGCACTTTTTCTCATTCTTCCTTATTTTTGACCTAGAAATCTTCAACAAATTTCTTCTCCTGACTAGAAAGAAGCAAAAATAGGACAGCAACACCCAGGATGAGCATTAATACATATACCTCCTACTGGTTATTCTTCTCTCCCATAATTACAAGGATCAATCTTAGTAGTTGTTACATAATTCTTGCTTTCCAAACTACCATTCTATTATTGTAATTCAAGCTATGCAAAATTCCCTGTTACAACCTTTTTGCTCAATAAATGGGAATACGGACAAAAATAGCTCAAGAGAATAATGACAAAGAAGGTACTTATGCCTTATTCACTCCTCTACAGCTGCATACCAATGTCTTAACATACAAGTATGGTATATTAACTTAATGAGACATACATAGTTTTAGACATGGCATTTGATAAGGTTTTTTTCAGAACATAATACTACATAACCAATGATTCGGTATCACAACTATTGAATATACTGTATTTTATTGCTATCTGCTGCTGCTGTGCTAATAATAGAAAAAAATTCTTAAACTTATCTCAATAAGTTTGTCAGATGCACATTTAGATTAGAATAGGATAGGATAGGATAGGATAGGATAGGATAGGATAGGATAGGATAGGATAGGATAG